TTTTCATTTGAACTTCTGAAATAAGGAAATAACTCAGGGAACTGTTACCACTTCCACAAACCCCCTTGAAGTCTGGGACCCCACCGAGCTTTGAAATTACCATACCAGCCTCAAATAGCTTTCCAGAACTCAGGAAATGATGCCTTCTTCTGTAATAAGCAGTGATCTGTTTGTCTTCATTAATGAGTCTGTTTAAACATAATTATGTGTATTTGTAGGGAAAAAAAACTACAGGGCGAAGATTCAGAAGATAAGTGTTAGATGTAGTTATATGCCTTTGACTATCTCTCTTTGGTTCTCCCTTTCATTAAGTGTAAAAGGTGCACATTTCCCATGTGCTAAATCTAAGATTTTGAGTGTAGTTTTGACAATCTTGAATCTGGTCTTTCATTCACCTTTATTTTTTATTATTATTATTTTCTTTGTTTCCCTTTACTCTAGGTGATTCCTTTAAATACTGAACTTCTAAAGAGCACTTCCAGTATCAGTGTCTAATAAAAAGCAAGCCTTTTCAGGAGCAGTATATAGTACATGATAAGAAGTGTTCCTTTAGTGTTCAGTGCTGTAGTGAACAGCTTTCTACAGCAGGATCTCACCTTCATGGTGTCCTCACTCTTGGTACAAAGTGTGCGCAGCGTGTTATGAGGCAGTTCTGTTGGGGCACGTTAGGACCTTAGGATGTGTGGTTCACTTCAAGTCCAGTGCATCAGTACCTTTGTAGCTTGTTTCTTTATGCTCTCTTTAAAAACATCAGAAGTTGTAAAAGGTTTATTTCGGCGCATGCAGTAGTGTTTTGTGTGTGATTCTTTGTTCCTGTTCTAAACTGTTACTAACTACTGAAGTGAACCTTCTCCCAGGTTTGGCCTTGTGGTATTCACATTGTATTCGGACCTAATTACAGATTAGTCTGTATTTGAGGCTTTTAGAGCGCGTATCAGAAGAATCAAAAAGAATTTGAGAGTAGCAGTATCATTTCATGTGGAGATAAAGAGACCCAAACCATGAATGGGTGTCAGGTCATCTGAAGAAAGGAAAAAAAGAAGGAACTTCATTCACTGAGACTGACGGCTTATGAGTTGAGGATTATGGGAATATTCATGACTCAGTCAAGAAGCACAATGAACTGATGTTTGAAATAGCTCATCTTTTAAGTAAACATTGGATAAATGGAAAGTAGACTCAGTATTCACTGCAGAACTGGCTATTTCAGTGTAACAGAAATAGCAGTATGTTAATCCCTTCCTGAGTTGGTTTAATTTATCAAGTAAATCACAAACTTTACAAGAATTCCCTAGCTATAAATATATAATGCAAATATTTAACAGAAAAGGGAGCTTGCTTTATAATTAGTCATAGTAATCTGTACACAATTCTGTGGGAAAGTAATTTCTAATGATGAAATAGATTTGAAAACACTAATATCTGGGACATTAATTTGGAAGGATCAGAAAGTAGGAAGTTTTAGTCACTAACCTTTAGCCTTGATTTTTATTGATAATTCAGTTTTCTGTGCAATGATGGCATAGTTAGTAATACAAGAGAGAGCTGAAAACTTTCATCAGATTTAAAATGAATGAATTCAAACATGGGGCATAATGCTTCTTAATATTTGTAAGATAGCTTCCTTATAAAGTTTGAAATCTGTTTCCTGTGTAAAGCTGTGCCTGTGCTTGTGTGTGTGTGTAGTCAGCATATATCAGCCTCCTTAATACGGTGCTAGCATCGATTTGAAGTTTCTTTTCCCACTGGTGTGTTTTGAGACCTGAGCGTTGTTCCGTGTTGCCTGTGTGGTGACCTGTCAGCTTGCCCTCACTGTCCCTGTGTTCCTTGCCTCCTGATCCAGGCTTGCTCCAGCTCTGTGGTCCTGGCTTCCGCCCTCTTGGTCACTGGTATTGCCCAGGAAGCCTGTCAAGTTGGGTTTGTGGGGGTTTTTTCCTGCTTGATAACCGACAGCCCTTATATTCTGCGCTCTATTTGGGGGATCGTCATCATTTATCAAGTACTCATTGAGCATGTACACTGAGTCTGACACTGCTGTACACACCGAAGATGCTGATTTTTTCGGCCCAGTTTCATACTCATGGTTCTCGGGGGTTTCTCCAGACGTGTATAGATCTGGTCTGCTCAGGAGGCGATGATGCTCAGCAGAGGAGAATGTATTCTATATTCTTTAGTCACCCCTAACTAGAACAACCTAGGGGGTGCTCGGGAGCTGTTCGATTCCGGAATTTTTACCAAAACATGTCTTATTTCACATAAACAGTAAAACTTATAACAAGTACACTAGAAATAATAGCATTTGTGTTGTTACCACGTGGTGTATATGGCAGCAGATCCAACGAGTGTTTCTGAACCAGGCAAACACAGCAACTCTGCAGACTTATTCCTCGCCTTTGGCACTGATGCCGGCAGAGTTGTATGAAGACCAAATAAAATGGGGGGATTTGAAATCGCCCAAAACACATCAGACACTTACTTCATAGACATAGAGTGGAGGTGGGGAGTAGGCAGGGAATTTTCAAAGGCAGGACATCCTCTGTGTCTCCACGTCACTCATTAAGGACATTGTATAAGTGAAGGAATGAACCAAAAATAAATTTTTTAACTTAGTGTTAAAAGGATACATTTATCACAATTCTTTTTTTTTTTTTACATTAACCTCCACCCTCTCCTTTCCTCCTCTCTCCCCCCGTTACTTCCTAGAACCTTACCTAATTGTCCTTTGTGTCATTCTTGAGGTTTCAGAGCATGGTGTTACAGTGTCCTGATATTCTAATTGTAAAGTATTTGTAAAAGCAGCTTTTTATTGGAAATTTGTAAATTTTTTACTGTATGGTGTTTATATAATAGTTAATTAAATACTTTTACTTTCATTTAGAAAACAACATGGCTTATCTCTAATTTCAGCAGAATTTGAATTTTTTTTAGACACCTGTGCTCAGTGTGGCTCTTGGTGTCTTTCAATACAAAGAGATCTTGCTCTGAAAAGTCTCTTGTGAGTGATGCTACTGTACCACCCGCTCACAGATTGTCTGTCCTCTGAGGATGGAGGTCACTGACAGGGCAGAGGGATGGGTAGAGTTGGCCCTGCAGCTGCCTGATTGTACTCAGATTGTGGAGCAAATAGAATCAGGTTTCCTCTCTTCATACAGTACAGCTTCCCAAGTAGAAACAGTTCTCAGTAAATGTTCAGAGATGCTGTTGGGGTTCTAAACACCTGTTTTAGATTTCCATGTGTTGTGCTGTTTAAGCTAGATGATTCTTTTAAAGACCCCATACATTTCCAGAATTCTATGAGATGATGTAGAAAACTCTTTTTTTCCTCCTGTCCTTCCCCCCTTTTTTAAATTCTTCAGCTGACAAACTGTACTGTGGAACTCTTAAGAATTCATTGAAGAAAACCAGTGAAGCTGTTTCTAAGCAACTAGATGAATTCATTTTAGAAATAAGAATGTGGCCTTAATTTGAGAAAGGAAGTGCTTACTGGTTTGACTGCTTAAAAAATAGTACAAACTAGTACAGACTAAACTTCCAAGAGATGGTTTAAGATTATGTTTCCTAATTTGTCTAGTTTAACTTTTACGTAAGGAGTTAATGCTGCCTTTGTGAAAACTATCATCATGTTTTCTCATTGAATAACTTGAATAACAGTAGGGTTCGTTTTCCTATAGATTTTGTGCTAGTCTCAGAATACCAAGAATTAGAACTGTTAAATTACTGGCAGAAAAATATGAAGACACTGTTCTTTGTACACAACCACGCTAGGCTCTGTTGAGTTCCTGTAATGCTACTAAGAAGTTATAAAAATGGACAATTGTTTGTTTTTTATTGGCTGCTCATAACAAGTGATCTCACTGGTAAAAAGGAATGCTTTTATCTTTAATGTAAAAGATGTAAATGTTGAATATTAATGTATCGTACATGATTTTTCTATAAAGTAGAACCTTTTCCTCGATATCACTAGCTTTGAACCAGTCACTTCACTTGTTAATTCCCACTAATAGGTTAAATTGTGTTAAAAGGACAAAAGTATTTGTTACCATGCCTGCTGTGACCTGTACTTTACAATAAGAGTTGCATGATCAAGTTGGCAGTGAAGTAGAATAAATCACAGCTTTTCCATGTTAATGCTAGCAGATTGACGTGCACTGTGAAGAGTTTGCACTGTTCTTTACACTTCAGAGAGAAACTGTGGGTTTTATTTTGGATGTCTATAAACATGAAAACCGAAAATCAGATAAAATAATGTGGATCCGTCTTTAGTGGCTCTGCTGTTTTGACCCTTCCGTCCTTCATTCACAGCTAGAAAAGTACAGTTTTGTATGTATTTTAGTGTCACTGCCCTTTTCATGTTTGTTGCAAATATTTCCTACAGTTTCTTTTGTCTTTTAATTTTAGAACATTTTGACATATAAGGGGTACATTTTAATGTGGTCACATTGCTCTTTTGCTTTGTAAGTCTTCCCATTACTTTATGCCTAGAAAGTCATTTCCCAGTCCAAGGCCAGTTAAATACCTGTATTCTCTTTTAATTTTTTTATTTATTAATTTATTTATATATTTTTTGTTCAGAATATTGCAGGTGTCCCTTTTTCTCAAACAGTTTCATTATTTTACATTTTCCTTTATTTCATATATTGCTAACTGTGGGTCCTTGGTTGGACTCCAGAGAAACTGAGCACTCCTTAAAATTCTATACATAATTATATATATATATTTATATGTGCATTTTTCTGGGTAAGATTCCATAACTTTTATTAGAATTTCAAAAGGGTCTGTCATATGCCCTCCCCCCTTTCCAAAAAACTGTGAAGAGTTCCTACAGCCTTTTTGGGCTTTATGTGGCTGCCAGGCGGTGTTGGTGCCGAGGTCATTTTTCCTCCTTTTCCCAAACAGTTGAAGTATCCCAGGCCATTTGTGGAATGGTTATCTTCTGTGATTTGTGGTGCCTTTGAAGGATTAGTTTGTTTTTAATTTATTATCTCTTTCTATCTCCACAGAGAAAGTTAGAGAAATTCAAGAAAAACTTGATGCTTTCATTGAAGCTCTTCATCAGGAGAAATAAATTGTAATAAGTGAGTAAAAGTCTTCTTTCTACATTGTTATTGACTAAATGCAAAATTTATATTTTAAACTTATTTTAATAGTTTATCATTGTACTTGACTATACTTGCTCTTTAATAATACTTTTACTGGCAGGAATCTCTAAATTTCTTTTTTTTTTTTTTCTAATATATATCTTTATTGATTTCAGAGAGAGGAAAGGAGAGGGAGAGAGAGAGAGATAGAAACATCAATGATGAGAGAGTCATTGATCGGCTACAGCCCGCAACCCGGGCATGTGCCCTGACTGGGAATCGAACCCTGATCGCCTGGATCCTAGGTCGATGCTTAACCGCTGAGCCATGCCTGGCCGGGCTCTAAATTTCATGTATACTGTGTTTTTAGTGACTTGATCGTCTTTGAGCTGAACTAAAAATATTCTTGAGAACTCCATTTGAACAGAATGAAGGCGGACAAACTCTAAGACATTTTCTAATATGCAGGTGGCTCGTGAGTTTTCTGCCTGTAAAGAATTGCACTCTGGCTCTCATTACTTAATTCCCTTGCTCATACTCGATGGATCACTGGTGTATGTTGGCTTACAGAGCTTTTTATCTGGCTTCCCTAAGAATCTCATTAATTGTTCTTAATCTTATTCTCCTATGTTTAAAACATTTAGATGAAACCTTTTCCTGTGTAAAGTAACTTAGATAGCCTTAGTACTCTTCTGAATGTGTGGACTCTCTTAGCTAATTCTATAGTCTGGCATTATAAATATGTTCCCAAGAATGCCTGGCCGGGCGTGGCTCAGCAGTTGAGCGTTAACCTAGGATTCAGGTGATCGGGGTTCGATTCCCCGTCAGGGCACATGCCCGGGTTGTGGGCTCAATTCCCAGTGGGGGTGTGCAGAAGGCGGCCGATCAATGACTCTCTCATCATTTATGTTTCTATCTCTCTCTCTCTCCTTTCCTCTCTCTGAAGTCAATAAAGATATATTTTAAATATATATATATATTTATATATATATTTAAACATATATATATATATATATGTATATATATATATACCTAAGAAAATACTATATATTGAAAGACTTTTCTTAGTAGCATCATCAATTGTTAATTATCACTGAAGAATTATAATTAGTAGGTCTTTTGCTTTTACTGAAGAAGTTGAGCAAGGGAAAATGTTCTGATTAAGACATTATTATTTATTTAAAATATTTAACCACTTTATTTGTGAGCCTTATCCTAGGCACCTGTAACACAATCTGAACTGGAAGGAGTAGAAAAATGTGAAAGATTCCCTCCCTAGCTGCACTCGGTTCAGAAAAGGACCTTAAGCCTCAAACTACCTGCTTTCCTCTACTGTAGGGGCAGTCTCTTTACAAAAGCAGGCTAGAAAGGGAAGCACAGCTCCGTCTAACAGCCCACCAGCCATGAATGAGAGAGGAAGAAGTTAGATACAGCTTTGTTACTTTGTTTTGTTTGTCTCTTTCATAAATTAAGACACATGTGCAGATGTATAAAAAAATATATCTAGAAACTAAATTTCCATCATCTTTAACAAAGACCAAAAATAATTCATTGTTTTTAAGTGTCAATGTTTGTAAAAGTTTTATACAACTTCAGTGTATGAAAATTTTCTCCTAAAATCATAAAGTGTTATGATATTTCCTTTGTCATCATAATTACTAGCAATAGTTAATGTTAGAAATAAACGTTTTGACAACCTTCTTCATTTGGAGATTTTCTTCAGCACCGAAGTTCACTTGATTTTTTTGTTTACAAGTGTCTATTTTTGGAGGGTGGGAAGTCATGAATGTCACAGAAACCCCATTAAAAATATAAGCTACATTTCTGTCTTTTTAATGAAATGAGGAAGCCCAAAGCAAGCCAGTGCTTTACATAGTAGTCACTTCCCCCTGATGGTCAGTGTGACATGTAGAGTTACCATTGCTGCTGGAATAAGCCTTTTCTTGACAGTGTCTGTCCCAAATGCAGGCCAGGGCGATCCAAAGAGCTGGGCAGTGATGGTATTTGTGTACTGGGAAACCATCCCACTTTCTTTGTTCCCTACTTGTCTATAGTTTCTAAGGCCCTTCTCATCCCCTGGGAAGTACGACTCTGTGAACTGTTACAAATATCTGTGAATTAAATAGATGATCAATTTTAATGTACCTTGCAAATCCATTTAAAATACTAAATCTGGCAGGACGGTAGTCTTGCTTCATTCTGTTCATTTTATAAAAGTTACCAAGCATCTTAGGGGATAGTTTCTCAATGATAGTTGTAACGTGGAGTTCCTCTGCCTGATAGTTTTAATTAACTGATTCTCATACTTGTTGAAAATATTTATACCCAACAGTCATACACAGATTCCTTCTACCCATCGGTTTTAATATGCTAAGTTTTTACTGTTTTCTCTAAGAAATGGATTTCAGTGTTTTTTGATTCATATATCATGTTTGATGAAATTGTTATATTATGGTAGGTGATACTTTAAATTTAATAAAACTAACAAATTGCATACTTAGGCAAATAAGCTTTAGTATTTTTATGATCTTTCAGTAATGTCTCCTCAGACCTAAATTTATCAAATGTGTTTGTTTTTACAGAATCCTACTCATAATGTCATCACCTCTGCATATATCTGAAGAAAGAAAACTCCAGAGTCTTTTGTCTTGCTTTTTTCCTTCTGCTATCCCACCTTTCCAAACACAAAATAAAGTCATGGGATAAAAATCACGTATGTGTTAGAGGCACTTTAACCACCAGCTGCCTTTTGAACAGAAGAGCAGGGGAAATGGCATTAACATCCTATTTAATTGTATTGATGTGACAAGTTGGGATGATGTAAGTGGTGTGACCATTAGGTCCAGTCCTTACAGATGAGAGAATTGCTCTCCTGTTGTCTTACTTGTGGTGGCACCAGTTCAACTAATTCATTAGCTGATGTAACTCCATGTCAGTTTCTTTTCCAGAAAAAAAATGCTAGGTGTTTTGAAATAAAAAACTTAGAGCAATTTTCTAAAAGTAACAGCTGTATATAAAATATTGGTAACCCACTAAGTTGTCTTCTGTATCTGTAATGTTCTATATCCAGAAACTCTGTGGCCACGGTAATTCATTTTATATCCATCACATGGAAGAAAACTGACAAAAGAGCCCCTCAAATAGAGTGATTTGGATTATAACAACTCCACGTACGTTCAGCGAAAGAGATTTCAACCCTTTGTTGACAGCTTGGAGAGTTGCCTGGCGGCGGAGTCACTAGAAGCTTACCTATTGGATTCAGTTGCTGTTTTTGCACTCTCTGCATCCATTTGAAATTCATTCATTTTGGATGTTGTATACTTAAGCTAGGCTTTCTGTTAACAGTGGTTTTTTACCTGTTGACAGAGCGATTGGATTGAGACACTGGACAGGGAAGATTAAGAATAATCAATTGACTAATTACATTTAGACTATTGTCAAACATTTCAACTAGGCATCAGGAAAAGGCTTTCTTTCATAGGACTATATTTTAAGTAGAAATTATTTCAACAATTAGAATGATGTTGGCCATCCCCCTTAACTGAACGTTTAAAGAAAAATATAAAGTTTAATTTATTGCAGTTTAATTATAATGATACCCTCACAACATTTTCATGTTTTATATAAACATTTTTTATTGGCTAAAGGACTTTAAAGCAAAGAACTATGCCATTTTTTATTTAAAATGTCTTTCTCGTTTAACTCAGCTCTTTGCTGCCATTTTGTTAAACCTTTATTATTCTAATAATATGCCCATGGTGTGACAGTTTTTATTTACAGTTTACTTAATTTTACAGTTTTCTTGGAATTATGTTTTGATAAGAATTCCTTGCCACGTGGCATTTTTAAAAAAAATTTAACATTACTACAACCTTCCTTGTGATCTACCTCTCTCAAGATCTGACACTTAATAGGCAAATTTGAAGGATATCACAGAGTACTTCAGAAATTGAGAGTCCAGTGAATACTCGTTCTACACTGTTTAATGAGAAAGGCAGGTCCAGCTTTCAGCAGCTGGGAGCAGGGTACATTGTTACCTGGTAGATGAGTGGTCAAGGACATTTCCTGTCTTTTAGTTTTAGGGATAGTGGGTGAGAAGAAAGGGGGCTCCCCAGTGAGATGACCTCCTGGTATCCTCCCTCTAGCCAGTGCTAGCCAGTAGGTAAACCCTGCACTGAAGCAGATATCATGCAGTTAATAATTCTTCTGTAATTGTTGAACACAACCGCTGTACAACTACAAGTCTATTTCTGAATCAAAAAGGAAATAGGGCCATATTTATTTCTATGAGCTTGCAATAGGAAAAAATGCCCTCGGTTGCATTTCCACTGATTTCTCTTTTATTACATCCCTTTGTATAAATTTAAGAAAGGGGGGTGGGGTGTCTTTATTTCCTTGAGGTCAGTATTTGTAATTTAAATAGATAAATAGATAAAAATGAATATTATTAAAAATCCCATATAGGAGTCCAGACGTCTTCCCATGCCCCTCGATAATATCACATCTCTCATGGATAATATATATTTTTCTTTTTTTCACTGATCTCATACTAAGCATGCCTTTTTTTTTTTTTTAAACTAGGTACTTATTAAAAGCAGATGTTAATAAAAGAAAAAATAAAATTCAGATTCTCAACAGTACTCTGTGTTGTGTCTGCAGTTCAGAAATTACAAATGATTCAGATATAAACAGATCACTTCAGAAACTCAGTGTACAGAAGTTAAATTCTAGCTAGACCAGGAATTATTTGTTTTTAATGTCAGGATTTGCAAAGAATAGCGTGAACAAAGCTCTCTATGGAAGACTGAACCATGTAAATAAATTCTATCTAAATTTTACTCAGTCAGGGTATTGATTTAATAAGCCAGTCTGTGGAGGCAGTACAGCAGGAAACAGGCTCTTGCTGCTTCATGGTTGAACCAGCAGAGCTGTACGTACAGGTGGAGCAATTGGCATTTTTTAGTAGCTTAACTGTATTCTCTTCTCTTTGTGTTAGCCCCATTTTCTAGTCTTTACTCCAACAGACTCCCCATAACAGCCTCCAAATGCAAAGGAACAGAGTAAAATTGAACAGGGAACGTTGCAGAGCGTAGAGCTTCCTAACCCTAGAATTTGAGAGTCTTACAGGTGATGATAAGACTCAGAATGTAGCTTTAAAAGATAAATCTTTTATTTAGTTAAGAATTAAATTTATTTATTTTAGATTTATTTATCTGTGTAAAGAAATATGGTATTTTGGTTTTCTGATAAAGGGGATCAAAGTAATGCTTTTTATCTCAATTCTCTAGGCTGGTATAAGCTATAGCTTCAGGTTCTTTAGCAGTGTGGAAATGTGCTTACGAATATGCTTATCTTTAGAACGATCATGGCTTTGTTTAAATATTTAGAACAACCTTGTGCACTGTGAGTGGACTTTGTATTATTTTTTAAAACCTTCATACTACATGTAGATGTTACTGCAATTTATCTTTTGCCTGTGCTTGATCTAAGGTTGTTTGTGTAGATTAGTAATTAAAGATATTATCTGAAGAGAGCATCTTTCAAGTTTTCTCTGTTTTAATGAGGGAAGGAGGAAGAGAGAGACAGAGACCCCTCTGCACCTACGGTCATAATTTGACCCCACAGTATAACCAAATTCGTGGTGTAACAAGCCTCTCAATGTGTCCTTTCTCTGAATGCTTAATTCATATGCCTCACACTTCCCAGTTGTAATCTCATGGCCAAACAATGCCTTTTGTTCATGTCTTGATACTTGTCAAAACATTTTGGTTTTTGTTTTTTTCTGGTAAAATGTATCAGAAATGTTTTTAAGCTACATTTCACTGCTATTGCCATCATTTTTACTAATGCTGCCAACACGTTCAGTTAAACATGAGGGCTTACTAAAAAGTCACAACCAAGTCTTCAAAGGAAATAACCTTAAAGATCATTTGATTCTGTCTACCACCTGATTATTCCTCCTCTCATTTTTTATTCCTCCCAGAACTATCCTCATAAATGCTGCTTATTAATATTTGTTGAGCATCTGATGTGTAAAATGAGGCAGGATTTGTGTCCATTCCGCTGCTCACTGGTGGAGCGACTCAATCACAAAGCACCACAGCCGCAAAACGGAAATTAGGATTTTAGCCACGTGTCAGAAAATATGGTCATGGTTTACATGGCCTGGCACTTGCCTAAGCTTGTGAAACCTCTGACATTTGTGAGAAACGGTGCAGGGAATAGGTTAACTCCATCTTCTCACTTTGCTAAAATTTATCAGTGAATTAGGCTAAATCGTCAAAAAGCAAAACAGCCTGGACTTGCCTTTACCCGCCTCTTAATTTATCTAATATGCCCTTGTCTTTTACCAACAAATACTGTATGTTGTACCTATTTGAAGAAAATGCACAGTATCTTTTGCAGAAGCAAAACCTAATGACGTCTCTGCTACCATTTCAGTTCATTAAAGAACAGATTACTAGATAATTCAGTGACAGCTGAGTTTCCTGCTCCAGACAAATGTATACGCTGCTTTCCTTCTGTGAAAGAGAACTCAGGACCTTACCCATTTCTTTGCTTCAACTGCCAGCAAATGTTGAAATTAATTTACCTCTTAACAATGAACCTGTCCATTTCTCTGCACCCTTAGTTTGTGCTTCATTTTTGTTTTTAATCTCTCCTTTCCGTTCATCTTAACATAAGTAGTCATGAACAAAATGCAGTGCTTACTATCTCTCCGTTAAGAAATGTCTTCGTCTAGAGGGCGTGAGCTGAAAGTTCTGGCACTTGCGGTCAGTGACACTCCAGGTGCCACACGGCCAGTACTCTGTATGCCAGGCGTATATAATTGTTTGCTACAATAGCTTATAGCACAGTAGAAACCAGAGGTCACCTAGCCCGTTCATTAAGAACGCAGCACGCGCCCAGTGACGACAGTGACCCGCCTCCTAGCCGCGTGAGGAACACTCGCCGGGAGGAGGTGACCGATGTTTGAAAGAAAAGGTGTACAGCTAGATGCCTCAGTCTGCAGCCATTCCGGGGACAGTAACACACCTACGGGCCCATTATAAAGGTCTGAGCAGGACGCAAAGAAGTGTGCTGTCACTAACCACTTGCATCTTGGGACCCATCTACAAATTCCCCTGAGGCCTTTTTAATAGTATCTTATCTTGACAAGGATTGATCCTGTGAAACATTTTTGGTTTTCCTTTTAAATTTTGAAGTTAAGAAAAGAACTTAAATCTAGAGCAGTGATTTTCAACTGTTGTGCCACAAGAATTTTTTTTTAAACGTGTAATAATACCTGACTATTTCATGAGGGGCGCTGACCTCTTTTCCCTTAGATTGTCATTATACCAATTTTTTTTAGTCAGATCAGCAAAACGTATTTTTTGGTGTACTGCAGATTTTCGTAATTAGTTTATGTGTGCGATGAGATGAAAAAGGTTGAAAATTGCTGCTCTAGAGCAAAGGAACCAGTATGTCTTGTGTTTTGTATCCATTATCACAGTCAATGTTATTTCCATTTTATAAATGAGGAAATAGGCTCAGAAAAGTTTTAAGTATATAACTTGTCTAAGGTTATTCTAGTGACTGACAAAGTCTAAACAAGTCTGGCTACAAGCCTAGGTACTTTCCAAAATATGCTTTCTCTCAAAAATACTTTTAGGAAAATGAATTTACTTATGAAAGTAAATAGCACAGTGATACACGTAGAAAATGCAAAATGAGCTAGCTTTACAGAAATGGCCCAGGGCTGTTTTCTCTAACTCTGAGGCTGTTGTTGCATCACAAGAATGAAAATAGCAGAGATGTGAGGTTCCCTATGGGCCCTGCAGGACTAGGCAATGTTGGAGATTCAGAGGGCTCTCATCTCAGACCTTTGTCTTAGGAGTAAAAATGACGACTTTGCAATTTTTCCTCAACATGTCAATCACGTTACCCTTCCCATCTTCCCTACGCAGGGTCTCTAAATCTTTTTGCATTAACCCAACTATTAAGGTACAGAATTATTTTTACCCCAGTGTTTATTTCCCCAAATTTTGACTGCCTTTTTGTTTCTAACAAATTTAATACTTGAAAGCTATGAGCAGAAAAGCCTTTACAATTTCAACTCAATTTATTTTCAGGAATATCATATATATTATTTAATTTTCTTGCCCTGAGTGTTCCTAGTTTCCCAAGACTGTTGGAATGGAAATAGGTGCTTTCGAGCCAACATTCTCAGGAGTTCATCTGCTCATGTATCGAAGCCTCCTGATAGGAATGCTTAACTGAACACCCCTGCCCTTCACTGCCTCTGCCATGTGGGAGGCTCTCGGCATGAGCACAAAGCCACTCCCATTTTCATACTTTCAGGTTTCTTGTTTTTTTAAGTATCTGAGACATTTACGGTCTTGCTAATTATAGGAATGCTATGGTCATGGCTGAATCGGGGTTCCCAGACGGTAGCTTCATTCACATCCAGAGCCCTGTTTTGACACCGAAAGGGTAGAGGAGGCTTTTGGACCTCGCTCTCTCCCTTGGGTGCCCCCCTTGGTGTGGTTCGCCAGCTGTGTACCCTGCGATTGGCTGTGCTTTTGATGTGCAGATACTACAAGTTGGTCACAAACCTGTGTACAATGGGCCTGTTCTGGTTCATGTGAAAATCAACATCCTTTTTTGTGTTCCCGGGTGACAGGATGCTACAATACTATTAGCATTTGCAAAGAGTGTGCTCTGTCCAAGGGTGTAACCGCGGATCGTGTGCTGCTCAGTTTGTGTTTCTCTATTATGTGGGAGACACAAAGAAGCTGAAGGCAGGCAAAGGCCTGTCAAATCCTGTAATGTAGCGCTCGACCCCCAAACTCCACTTGGCCTCCACGCATCTCTTGTTCCCAGTCCCACCCCTTCCTCTGAATGGGCTCTGAGGTAGGTAAATGAATGCAGGGGCCTGGTGGGCGGGGGATTCCTTTCTGACCTCATTCCTGTACCATTTGTTTGCGGGCTTGTAGGGGGAGAGGAGGACATTCTGGAATCCTTTGTGTCAAATCATTTTCTTGCAGGTTGGGGAGTTAATGGTAACTTTGTCCGAAGGCAGCCGAGCAGAAAGCCTCCACGACCAGGCGTGGCGAGCCCGGCCTGCTGCCCGCAGGACGGAAGGTGGAAACGGGAGGTTTCTAGAGCAGATGGGTGTGCGCACGCCCGCCTGTTCAGCATCTGGTGGCGGGAAGCTTCAGCCTTCCCGTGTGTGGAAGATAGAGTCCTGGTGCCTTTAGAAAGTTTCCTCTTTCTGAGCCTCCACGGCTTTTACACTGATGCCTGTCGTGTGGAGAATCCTGCAACCGGTTATATAGATTCGGAATATTTTTCAAGCCCCTACCACCTGGCTAACTGTAGAGTACAATGTGATTTCTAGAGGCGGTGTATCATTTTTTACCCTCAGGCTTAGTTTATCTAGAAAGTGAATTAGAGTTTTAGAACGATTGCTCTGGTTTTGCTAAAAGGAAGAAGGAGAGGCCCGGAGAGAAGCAGCAGTGTGTTCAATGAGTAGCTAGAACCCCTGACTCCCAGGCAAGTGCTGGTTCTGCTCCATAAAGATTGAAATCAGGAACCACAAATTCAAAGCCTCCACAGCCAGGCATTTGTTAAAAAAAGGGGGGGAGGGGATCTGAATATTCACATGAAACCTCCCTCCTTTGAAATTTTTCAAATCACCAATGTGTGAGTCAGAGGGAAACATCCACCACCAGCATGCTGCCCCCAATTTAGACAGTAAAGAAAATTGTAAAAATTTTTCAAAGCTAGTCTCATTGCTACATTTTTTATCATGTTTTTATCAAAAACTAATTTATGTTAACATAAAATTGTTTTATTTTTTAATTGAGTAAATATTTTAAATATTTCTTAGCTTTAATTTCTGATATATCAATATGAAATATTGAATGAAATATTAAATAGAATAACCCACATAAACTAAAGCTCTTTGGGGTACTCAATTTTTAAGAAATTAAAACTTTGAAAATCACTGCTTTTCACTATGAGGCTTAGCTTTTGTTTAAAATACTTGAAGCAATGCATTCCCCATGAGAATTACCTCTTAGTTTCACAGCCTGAATTCAAGATATATTTTAAATCAACGGCAAGTGTTAGAAGACAGTCTAGCAAATGTCCGTGATCGTTGGGGAGGTTGAATGTTCACATCAGCTGTCACTCTATGAGAACTGCTCCCCGAGGATGCCAGGGCGCCCATGTCATCGCCTCTGCTGGACAGTCTCCAGGCCGCGTCTCACTTGACCCGTCACTGTGTTTTGCACCTGACCACTCCTCCTTTGAAATACTTGCATCTCTTGGCTTCCCCCACGGCACACACTTCTGCTTTTCTCCTACCCTTCTGGCTCTTTGTTTTACGTCTCTGCTGGTTCGCCCTCCGCCACTCAACCCTTAAGTGTTGGAATTGCAAGAGCTCTGCTGGCCCTCCTCTGAACTATAGTCTCTCCCTAGCTTCAGCGGTAATTTCATTACCGTTGATCCCCAGGGGAGGTAAATATTATCCCATGCATTTCTCAAAGGT